CTCTCCTCTTTCCCATCTTGCCATGCTTCCCCGCCTCACCCTCCTTGGAGGTGAGAAAAGGGGGAAAAGGAGAGGAGATTCTCTGCTGAGTGATAAGACAGTGCAAATGGGTAACAAAATGAAAAAAAACAACTAAGAATGATTAGATCAAGATGGGTATTTGTTGTCACAAAACGAAAGAACACTCTAAAGAGTCTTCAACCTAATAATTATAAATGGGCTAAAAAATTCAAGAGTAAGACACAAGGCAATCTAAACAGAACCTGAAGCAATGGAAGAAAGCAACAATGTTCTCACTAAGAACTCAACATCACTTTAGCTTCTGAAAGAATAAAACTGGCTGCACATGTTCCTAAGATTACAAATGAAGATAAAAAGGGTCCACAGGCATTATTCACATGGTTCATGTTTTCAACAAGAACAGAACTATAATTGAATGGAATCTGGTATATTTTCACCAGTTTAGCAGATTATCTTCTAGGAATCTGGTTTGATCAAAGTTTTCTTCTCCAGCTGTAAGGATAAAAAATATACATAACATAAACATGTACCCTGTGTTTTATAAGAAGAAAATATAAGATGAAGAGAACCTCAGGAGATAAACATTTGCCCCCCTACATTATGTCGACTCAGGCACTCTGCTATGGAAACCACCCCCAAATTGGATTTTGAGTGATTTTGTTCAAAAATTTCCCCCTTAGCTTGGTATGCATTGAGGAATTCACATCTGACATGTGAATCTCTACAGTGAATTTAACTATTACATGGTGTGTTTAATAGAAATCTGAAAAGGCCACATGTCTTGCTCTAAATATGCCTCATGTCTAAAATACCCCCCAGTAGAACCATTCACTTGCATCAAGGTACTGCTTCTGTATTTCCTGTTAAAATGCATTTTAGCTGGGAAAGATGACAGAGGAACATATTTGCACATATTCTCTTACAAGTTGAACTAGACGTCTGGGGTGGAAGTAAGACAAAAAGAAGGGACACTTGTTAGCTGCGCAGGACTGCACAACTTCAGAGGAGGAAGAATCACCTCTGGGGTGGGGACAGCAGACTGAGATGACAGTAGATTCCTGGGACTAAAAATGGGTTGAAGGGCTGAAACTGAGGATGGGGAAGGGAGGGGAAGCTGCCAGAGGCAAAATTCCATTCCTCATTTTATGTAAGGTCATCTCTAGAGAAAACCACTTTCCTCTAGTTAGTTACAATATGGTTGGAATATCTGAGTTATAGTTTAACCTGAATTGGTAGCAAACTTCAAAATACTGCAGATAATCAGCTACTCTATTAAAAAATTTTTTTAAATTTTTCTATTTTTAAAACTTTTTATTGGAGTATAGTTGATTTACAGTGTTGTGTTAGTTTCTACTGTACAGCAAAGTGAAGCAGTTATACATATACAAATATCCACTCTTTTTTAGATTCTTTTCACATATAGGTCATTTCAGAGTATTGAGTAGAGTTCCCTGTGCTATACAGTAGCTCCTTATTAGTTATCTATTTTAAATATACTAGTATGTATTTAAAGGAAAGGAAAAAAAAAAAAGAAAGGAATCATCCCTGTATATCCTCCATTAAGATAACAATCCACTACTTAAAATAATAATCCACTACATAAAATAAGTCCAAATAATACCTAGGGACTTCAGAATAAAAATATTAAAGGTGACTAGTGATTAATCTATCATATGGGAACCCAAAACTTTCCCATCCATTTAGACCAATAAAATTTTGTTTCCTCATTTCATCATCAGAGACAAGCCACTTCGGAAACTTCAATAATTAAAAACTTGAATTTATTCTCCAACAAAGACTTGAAATGGAGACCTACAGTCACATTCTTCTGTAAAGCTTCTAATGAAGATCCCTCCCCTCCTCTTTTTAATTAGCTCTACCTTCTCCATTCCAGCTCACTTTCCTTTCTGGCTCTGCACACCTTCCCAGCAATTAAATCTCAGACTTCACTAACAATCCATCTCCAACCTCACTGTCCTCCTACTGACTTCAAAAATCAGTAAGAGGGACTTCCCTGGCATTCCAGTGGTTAAGACTCTACCCTTCCACTGCAGGGGGCATGGGTTCCATCCCTGGTCAGGGAGCTAAGATCCCGCATGCCTCGCTGCACAGCCGGAAAAAAAAAAAAATCAGTAAGAGTGCCAAATGCGAATTTAGAAAAGACCACCTTGGATGCAGCATCTTCTACCCATGATTCAACTCTTTCTCACCTTTTCATCACAAGAATTCTGAAAGCCATGCCAGCAAGCATCCACTTAATCTCTTAACTCTGCAGTTTACCTTCTTTTCCTAAATTCCCTCGAAACAAGGTTTCAGAACGGGCAAGGCAGCAGCAAATCATACCACTGGGCAGGGGCTGAGGGGAAGACTTGTGAACCGTGATTTAACGACCCTTCCTGCCCAACACAATCTTTCTTCTCCTTTGATTTCTGTACTCTTACTAAGCATTCTGCTATATTTGATGCTTCTCATCACTCCTTTCTTGAAACTTTCCATCCTCGACTTCTTAGATTCTCTGTTATTCTGGCTCTCCTCTTACCTTTCTGCCTGCTCCTTTTGAAGTCCCTTCACTGATATGATTTCCCCCCTTTCCCTTGATCTCTGGGTATTTATTCTCCAGGGCAAATCCTTTATTATCTGCCCTTTTCCCACTACATCTGAGGCCTAGGAGAGAGTTCCATTTTCATGTTTCCAACCTTTATTAACTGGCTCTGAATTTCCAGTTGTTCCCAAACCTGACATCATCAGAATAATGTGAGTGAACTTCTTAAGGATACAGATTCTGGGGCCTCACTCAAGTAGTACGGAATCAGACTCTCTGGACCTGAGGCCAAGAAATCTGTATTTTCAGCAAGTTCTACAGAGAACTCTGATGGAACCAGTCCACATATGGAGAGCAGAGAACCAGTGACCTATACACCTTTATCCACTAGAATGGCTCCGTCACCACAAACTGAACCTTAATTATATCCACAGGAATTTTCATTTGTCAGTATCACCATTTTAAACTCACAAAAACACTTTAAAAATGTGCTTGACTCTGGATTCTCTCTTTCGTTTTAAAATATTATTGAAGCATAGTTGATTTACAATGTTGTGTTAATTTCTTCTGTACAGCAAAGTGACTCAGTTATACATATATTTTTTTCATATCCTTTTCCATTATGATTTATTACACGGTATTAAATATAGTTCCCTGTGCTCTACACGAGGACCTTGATTTTTATCTGCTCTTCCTTCCGGTATGCCTCAGGGTTGAGCCTCCATTCCCACTGACCTCATCACTCCACTCCTGAATGACTGCCTTAGTTTCTCACTGACCTCATCACCCTGGCCTTTCCTCTTCAACACCATCCATCTGAGAGGTGGCAGGGCATAGCTGAAAGAGCTACAGCATCCCACAGCCCTGAGTTAAACTCCCCATATCACTTCCTGCCGTGTAAACTCCCCATATCACTTCCACTCTATGTGGACCTTAGGAAAGTATATACAGCTCAGGAAAGGTCAGTTTTCTGGGCTATAAAGATTAGCATTAATATCTGACACACAGTAGATGTTCCCATATTGTAGCTATTGTAACTGCTCTTATGGTTACCCTATAAGCAATAACCAGTTTCATCTTCCTTCATCACGTCCTCTTTCTGGTAAAAATCCATGGACCATCTGATTGATTCTCAGATAAAGAATAAGTTACCCCCTGTTCTTTTATTCCAGTACTCCTATGCACCTGCAATGTGATAGTGGGCAAGCTACTCAATCTTTCTGTGCTTCTATTTCCTTGTCTGTAAAGTGTAGATAATGACAGTGGGTAATCCTAGGAGGTAATTCATTTGTTATGGATTAATGAATTATTAATAAATGTATTAATCCACATCAAGTGCTTGGAACAGTGCCTGACCCACTGCATTATAGTAAACCCCTCAATAATTATTAGCTAGAGGGAGTAGTAACAGTGGTTGTAGTCATAGCTATAGTATGGCCATGACTCTCACAGTCTACTGTCCTACTGACTGTTCACCCTGCCTTTTCACTGCAAAGGCCATTCTCATTCTTGCTTTTGTTTAATCCATTTTCTTCTCTACCTGCCAGTGCCTGGCACCTAGCAGGCATAAATGCAGACTTGCTGAATTCAGTATTATAATCCCCTCCACTCAACCAAGTCAGCCGCGGACTTTCTCTGATTTCAAAAGACCTTTTTAGGGCTTCCCTGGTGGCACAGTGATTGAGAATCCGCCTGCCGATGCAGGGGATATGGGTTCGTGCCCCAGTCCCGGAAGATCCCACATGCCACGGAGCGGCTAGGCCCGTGAGCCATGGCCGCTAAGCCTGCGCGTCCGGAGCCTTATGCCCCGCAATGGGAGACACCACAACAGTGAGAGGCCCGCGTACCGCAAAAAAAAAAAAAAAAAAAAAA